CAGGAGACAAGACTGGAAAGGGAGAAGCTGGTTGGAGAGTGAAAGATTAGGTCATATTGAGCCTTGTAGGCATCATCCTGCAGGCATTGTAAGGGTTTGGGTTTTTACTCTAAGTGAGAAGGTGAGGAATTAGAGTGCTTTGACTGGAGTCCTGTGACATGGCTTGATTTACTCAGTGATTGTTCTGTGCTTAACTCACCTGAATTGTGAGCCCTCTGAGTACAAGTGTTATGTCTTATTCATCTGGGTAGACACTACAGTTACTGACATAGAATAGGTCTCACTTGGCAAAATGCCTGCAGAGAGCATCTGACAGATGATCTGATAGGGGAATGCTTCAGAGCTCCAAGACAATGGTTGCTTTGTCTTTAAGGCACTTCAAAAATGTCAAGAATACATACATATATGTCATACATATGTATATGTCAAGAATACATGCATACATACATGTATATATATGAATACATATATGTATACATATATATGTATAGCAACATATACATATATATGTATAACTGAATCAATTTGCTTTACACCTGAAATTAACACAACATTGTAAATCGACTATACTTCAGTTTTTAAAAAAAGACTTTATCAGTATTGTGCGAACTACTCTTCTCATCAAAGCAAATGGAGAGCAGAGTTGTCCATGATTGTTGGGATCTAGCACTCTTGGAATTGTGTCAAGAAGAATATAAACAGGCAGACTCCCCATCCAATAAAAGCCCATATGTACTCCTGGCTCTAATGAGGTTCTCAGATTTTAAAACTTACAATAACAGAATCAAAGTATTCTGTTATCAGAATCACAGTATTCTGGTTCCAGTTAAAAATAAAACATCTGCCTACCCTTTTCTGCAATGATAATGCTTTTTTTCTAAAGGTGGGGGAAATATTTTACTAGCAAGAATGAAAGATTAACCTTTTTTTTTTTTTCAAAATATAGCTCCAAAAGAGGGGGGAAAAGTCTTACATCCAGTGTAAATCAATTCTCAGGAGGTTCATCACAATACATTGAAATTTGCTATTGAGAACCTTCTTGTTGTTCTTTCTGTGCTCCTTTTGCTGACTATGGGAGTCATTACCTGTTTTTATTTCTCCACGTAGGCTGGAACGAAAATTATGGTGTTTCTTTCCCTGGCATTGTAAGAATGACATTTGTTTGTATCACTCACGAGTCTAGCTGGATCTTTCGATTCTTTAGCAGCTAAAAAATGAAGGAAGGGCCTCCTCGGGTGAGTTTAGTTGTCATGTTGCTGGCAATGATCGTCTTAGAGTAGCTCACCTTTTTAGAGTCTTCTCACTTGTTAATCTAATTTCCTTTGTTTTTGTTTGGATGCAGACTTAGCAAATTAGGTTTGCCAGAATTAGCGAACCAGTCTACTTAGAGTCTGAAGATACCAGGTGACTATGAGCAAGGAGGCAGCATAGATTAGGAATTGATAAAGGACAGTCTGTTCTAAGCCTTATGCAATAACTTTGTGTGGTGTGGTTCTTGAGGAGGCAGGAATGTAAATAATCAAATGTGCCATTATTCATTATTAAAGGACCTAATCATGCAGGAGGATTAGGATCCTTTAGTTGATGGTCCAGACAGGTCGAATGGCTTTTTTCCGAGGTCATACAGTCTATTAACACTATTGCAAAAATCAAAATCTATGTCCTTATACTTTCCCCCCACCAATATCATGCTGCTTCTTGGGACTGGATTTTATACCAAGTCCAGAGAAATATCAGTATAAATTTTGATGTCTGGCTGTGCAAACTACAGAATCCTTTAGGAGGCTAAATGTAGTGTTTGTGCCCTGCTTAAGGTAAGAAAAACTGGATTTACTAAGACTAGTGAAAAGAACAGTAAAATGACATGTAATGAGTTAACCATGGCCTAAGTCATGAATGTGGCAATTGGCAGTGGAAATAAAACAGAAGCAATGGATTTAGAAGGAATCAAAAACATAAAAATACTAGGACTTTGTTAGTGATTGCCCAGAGGACGTTATAGAGAGGTGGGTGTTTAAATATCATGTTAAGTTTCTCTCTATGCTGTTTCTCTCCCTGTCTCTATCTCTGGAGTAGACATCAGAGTAATTAAAACCCTGGGTTTATGATCAGACTAGACCTGGATTAAACCTCGACTTGTTCACATATTAACTGTATGGCTTTGGCATGTGACTGATTCTAAGTCTCTCACAGGGTTGTTGATAAGGAATTGATGAGATAATCAATTTAAAATATTGAATGTAGTGCCTGTAAGATATGGAATCTGGGTCTATGGGATAATGATGATGTCATTATCTGCAATGAATCCTCAAGTGTTTTGAGGCTGGTTTCAAAGCATGTGGAATGGTATGAGCAAGGTGCAGAGGCTGCCATATACAGGACTGATCAGTGTACTATGGTTTATGGAGAGCACACGAGGCTCAGAATTGGGCCAACAAGGTTTGAGCTTCAACTTGACCAAAGGCCGAGACACAGTTAGGTGTGAAGCGTATGGTTAACTGTTATAGGGCAGGGCTTCCCTGGTGGCGCAGTGGTTGAGAGTCCGCCTGCCGATGCAGGGGACACGGGTTCGTGCCCCGGTCCGGGAAGATCCCACATGCCGCGGAGCGGCTGGGCCCGTAAGCCATGGCTGCTGGGCCTGTGCGTCCGGAGCCTGTGCTCCGCAGCGGGAGAGACCACAACAGTGAGAGGCCCGCGCTTCCCTGTCCATGAAATGCTGGCTGGTAAGTGACAGCAAGTTATGGTGCAGGAATAAAAACAGGACTAAGGAAAGAGGTAATGAATATAATGGAAGAATTGGGGCAACTGTATTGAGACCAAATAAGCAAACTAGAATGAGGAAAATTCAGAGATTTCAGGTAGACCAAAGCCTAGGAACACAGAGTCCAAGAAAATAGTAGGTGGAAATAGAGGAAATAGGGAAAGAATCCTTGTTCAATTGCCAGACAACTATCAAATCCAGGAAATTCATAGCAAAAAAAGCATCAAACCTGGCAGAGAAATAAGCATGAAGGGTCAGTAACTGATTCTGATATTAAAGCTACTTGATATCCAGCCAACCAGAGGACTGTCTTTTCTGGATTCACCCTGGAGGATGATGATCCCGAGAGAGATGATCTGAGTGGAAGTTTCCAGGCCAGGATGACCCAGAACATCCACCTGCTAGCAATGCAGGAACCAGGGCATCAAGTTTCTCTGGCAGGGGGATTCTCACAGCATATCAAGTGCTTCTGGTCAGATTTCTTCCCTCTGCTTTCATCTTTTGGCTGGTGCCGCCAAGTTTAGTGTCTAAACTTCCGTGTTGGTTTTAGAACCCGGTAAGCCCTGAGTACCGGAGTTGTACTGATTGCCTGCTTCCCAAAGGAGCAGGAGAGAAGATACAAGAGTAGGAGCAGCAGGAAGGAGAAATGAAACAGGAAGTCACGTGGAAAAGAGAGACAGGAAATCTGGACAGTTTCGGATCATGACCCAGGTATCAGGCGTCTCCCTATGACAGGTGGCTGTAGAAATCAGCACCTGCTTGAGCTTTGCTCTCGTGCTGAGTTCATTGGAGGATATTACTCTCATATGTATACTCAACTGTGTGACGTCATGCATAACTCGTTGTTACTTGCTCATCTTTTCCCCTGGAGAGAAATCAGAGTTTCTTAAGTGGGAAATATTTCCCTGCCTGGGGAAGATAGAGATTTTTTTCTCAATCTTTATTCCCCCAGTTGGCATAGATATGAAAGCCAGCTGGGAAAATATGGGTTGAAAAAAATATTGCAGAGTGACATTTATTCAAGACTCAAAACATAACGGGTGGTTTATAGGACAGAGAGATAGATGTCCTCCCTTAAGGCTTAATTTGAGAGCATCAGCACAGACTGAGGAGAGCTAATTTACTATTTTCTGAAAGGAAATGGGCTTGAGAAGAATGATTACAGCAAAATGCTCAAACAGAAAAAGCATCACAACTTTTTACTGAATTCTTGTTTGGGATTTTTTTTGTAAACTTATCAATCATTTTGTGACATTTTACAGTGTAATGAGATTTTGGTGTTTGTGAAACATCATTTTGAAATTGCCCCAAACTAGATTCTTCTCTCTCTCTCTCTTGTCAGACTGACATTGGGTACAAATCCACGAATCTGAAATGACTGGTCTATTCACTCAAACTCTTTTTATTGCAAGTTATAGAAGTCAAACTGAGTTGGAAAAAAAATAGGGAATTTTGTGTAAAAGAAAAGGAAAATCTTAGGAAGCCTCAGAGAAGAAATTCAGCTGGGTCCCAGGAATGTTTTGGAATTCAATTCTGGAAAGCCCTCAAGTGTGTCTCTTCTCCATACACTTTGCTGTATTTTTCTTGATCTCATCAGATCTGCTTTTATGGCAGATTAAGTCTTTCCCATAGCTCCCAAATCCACGTATTATAATTTCAGTCTCCCAGCATGGCCGCAGAGCCGTTTAAAGCAGTGTTCCATATTCATGGAAGAGAACATCTGTTTGCTACCCAGCCCCCAGTCCCTTGTGTCAGAAAGCCACACTTGGTTTCATCATACACAGTCTGAACATGACTTCTGGGATTTTAGGGTTTCCAGAAAAAGAAAGTTGTTTTGGGCTTGCTGGATTGTACTAGATTTGTCTATCCTATCATGCCCCAAATGAGTACGCTGTCTGGCACCGAGGATGCTCTCAATAAATATTTGTCAAATGAAATATTTATTGACTGAATACACTGGCAAGGATATAGGAACATGTTTGACTAGATAAAGGAAGATGTTTTTGCATTTTGAACGTCATAATAGTAGATCTTAATGAGTTGATTGTGCTGTAACAGGTAACTAAAACTAGTTACATTAGTTAAAAATCATTTGATTTCTAGCTGTTTTTATGTATTTATAAAATCATTTTAAAATAAAAAAAATTGCTGTGAGAATATATGAATGACTTAATATACCTATGTATTCATTTTAATAGTATTTTTTCCTTTATTTTTTAAAAATTTGATATTCATGAAGACGAAGCCTGGAGTAATTCGCCCCGTACCTGTAAAATCCAAAATATTACTGAGAAAAGAGGAGGAAGTCTATGAACCCAACCCTTTCAGTAAATACCTGGAAGAGCACAGTGACTTCTTTTCTGATCAGGTGAGTGTGCATATGAGAAAGTCTTTGATATTTGGATAAATAACTGTACAAAATATAGAGATGCCTCTATGAATATGGTGTGTGCAAGAAAATGTTTGTGATTTGAATATCCTTAGTAATAAAAAAGATCTATTTTTTTACATAATAAAACAATTCTTAAGTATTTTCAGGATGATATTTTGAAGTATTTAAATGTTTTTTCCTAAAATTTTTCTACCTATTGTTGGTATTGTTTCGGGCACCAAGATATTACTTCCTATAAAGACATCATGGAGTCACTGATTAAATGAGTCATATAGGTGCTGCAGTCTTAGTTCTAATATCCTGCTTCCTTTTGAAGCAATGCAATGCTTTAGGTTTGGTATATTAGTACATTTGACAGAAGATCTATTGTTTGGATTCATATCAACATAATAGAGATGATGTGATACCCTAGATTGAGTGTTACTAGATAGGGAATAAGGGCTTAAGTTCTTTTAAGGCATCATTGTTTTTTTGGTTTATGTGCAAAAAAGGTATACTATCTTCCCCTTATATATCCTATATGTTGAAGAAGGTATAATGGAAGGTTGTTGATGGTGCTTTATAAGATAGTCAGGAAAAACATGAAAATACACATTTATGCAATATAAAATTTCATAAATTATCTCAAAGGGAAACCTTACATCCTTATTTGTCTTCTTCAAATGCAACAAAGCGACATGGGTTATATATTTTATATCTCAAATATTATTACATGCTTCAGCAATGCAAGCAATCCAGAAATCTTTGTGGGTACAACCAGGATACGCAAGATCACCACCACATTTGGTAATCTATAATAGAATAGACTTGCAAAAGAAAGTAAGGTGCTATACTCTTTTTAAAGTTCAGCTGGAAAATGATAACTAACAATATTCTTGAAAATAGAAATTACGGTCATATTTGTGAAGCATAAGAAATATCTTGTCTCATATTATACTAGCTCTATGACACTGAGCAAGGTATTTCATCTCGCCCAGTTTGTGTCTTAATGCATAAAATGAGGCATTCAGAAGAGGTACTTTTTAAGGATCCTTCAAATTCTAAAATCTGGGTTATTTAAAATCTAAGAACTGTGAGTAGGCTAAAAGCCTTGAAAAAGTTCATTATAAATACTTTCTCATGCTTAGCTACAGTTTTTATTTATAAAATGGAGATGATAATGTTTTCTGCTTATTTATATATACTTTGTGAAGACTGATAAGATTTCAATAAGTTAAGCATTTTTAGGAGACACTAATATCATTGAAAATGATAATTAGAGGCAATTATTCTCATTTTATAAAATAAAAGGGAGCCCTTAATTAATTAAATTAAATAGGGAAATCTTATTGATATATAAGGTGTGTTCACTAAATCTGCACATAAAAGAAATGGAAATTCCTGTTCGGAAGGCATATTTCCATCATCAATGAAAATATTCATTATATATCTATTGCTTATATGACACTGATATTTTAGAGGCTTAATGTGACATTTTAGACAGTATGGGATTATTATAAAAAATTTATAAAAGTAATCTAGTATTATATGACAAAAATGCCAACAGTTAAAATAAATTTCACATATTATCCATGCAACGTATTCTTCAAATATGATCTAATTCTGTAAAATAAAAGTTTTGTTCTTTTGTATTAGTATAATTTTAAATTCATGCATTTTACCTTAAACAAGATTCTTTGTAGAATGTCAAGTTAACCTAACTATAATTTATCACAGTTTATTGTCCTCTGGAATGATAAACTCCATTTTCCGCTGTAAGAAATTCTTTTCGTTAAAAGGAGTTGCCAGTTCTTTTCATAGCTTTTCCTGACTATACAACAAGTTTAAAGCTCTGTTTATGTACACATAAACCTATGTATTTTCAGATAATTTGTAGAAAATTTGAGTTATTCTGCAAGTATTTTGGTGGTGCATAGACTTATTTATATTTTCTTTCAATCAGTTTATTCTTGTGTATATCCCAACTTCTGTGTCAGCAGACTGTCAGAATTGAAAGAAGTCTAGCAGAGCACTTAAAAATAAATTCCAGACCTTCCCTGATCTTATTCATTGACCTTGCAGGAGAGGAAAAATGAATATACTAGGAAACCGGGAAGCTGCATATACTATCAACTGGCCTCTACATGGAGCTATAACCACCACTTCATTGTGGCCAAAATCTACAGTGGAGGCAGACACAAAAGACAGCTCACAAGCATAAATGCTGAAAGCTCCTTAAATAATGAATTGAGTAATAACAATTTATGATCTCAGCATGGCTACTTCATCAGAACTTAACTCAAATTCAGTTCTGGTCGCTATTGCGTTCTCTTTTGCTGCTGCCACAGAATAAATTGAATGGTTCTAAACTCAGTTGATCTCACCATCCATCCATGTAATGGAAAATTCTTTAGCCCGACAGTTGAGCCAAACTGAAACAGCTCACATTCACTGATCTGCCCTGTCCTGGGGACAGTCCCACATGACAGGAGATGTTGGATAGGATTGTTAAATCCATGAATATCCCCTAGCAGCTTCACTGCCATAAAATATGATTTCAAAACTCTGTTACAAAAAGTTACACACCAAAGATGATGAGACAAGACAAAAATGTATTTATTGTAGCATAAGAAGGTACAACCAGGCAGATTTTTGAACTTAAAATGAACTGAAAAGTTGCCTGGAGATAGCCCCTGAGCACTAAAAGCGAAGTTTGAAACCAAATGCTTAATCAAGTAATTGAAACTTATTAATCAACAACTTTTACATCAAAATGGCATAGGCCAGGAAGCATCATTCTATTTTTTTAAAAAATTTAACAACTTTACTGGAGTATAACTGCTTTACAATGGTGTCTTAGTTTCTGCTTTATAACAAAATGAATCAGCTATACATATACATATAACCCCATAACTCCTCTCTCTTGCATCTCCCTCCCATCCTCCCTATCCCACCACTCTAAGTGGTCACAAAACACTGAGCTGATCTCGCTGTGCTATGCGGCTGCTTCCCACTAGATATCTACTTTACATTTGGTAGTATACAAAAATCCATGCCACTTTCTCACTTCATCCCAGCTTAATCTTCCCCCTCCCCATGTCCTCAAGTCCATTCTCTACATCTGTGTCTTTATTCCTGTCCTGAACCTAGGTTCATCAGAAACATATTTTTTTGTTACGTTCCATAATATGTGTCAGCATGCAGTATTTGTTTTTTTCTTTCTGACTTACTTCACTCTGTATGACAGACACTATGTCCATCCACCTCACAACAAATAACTCAATTTCGTTTCTTTTTATGGCTGAGTAATATTCCATTGTATACATGTACCACATCTTCTTTAAACATTCATCTGTTGATGGACACTTAGGCTGTTTCCATCTCCTGGCTATTGTAAATAGAGCTGCAATGAACATTGTGGTACATGACTCTTTTTGACTTATGGTTTTCTCAGGGTATATGCCCAGTAGTGGGATTGCTGGGTCATATGGTAGTTCTATTTTTAGTTTTTTAAGGAAGCTCCATACTGTTCTCCATAGTGGCTATATCTATTTACATTCCCACCAACAGTGCAAGAGGGTCCCCTTGTCTCCACACCCTCTCCAGAATTTACTGTTTGTACATTTTTGGATGATGGCCATTCTGACTGGTGTGAAGTGATGCCTACTGTAGTTTTGATTTGCCTTTCTCTAGTGATTAGTGATGTTGAGCATCCTTTCATGTGTTTGTTGGCAATCTGTATATCTTCTTTGGAAAAATGTCTATTTAGGTCTTCTGCCCATTTTTGGATTGGGTTGTTTGTTTTTTTGATATTGAGCTGCATGACCTGCTTGTAATTTTGGAGATTAATCCTTTGTCAGTTGCTTCATTTGTAAATATTTTCTCCCACTCTGAGGGTTGTCTGTTCATCTTGTTTATGGTTTCCTTTGCTGTGCAAAAGCTTTTGAGTTTCATTAGGTCCATTTGTTTATTTTGTTTTTATTTCCATTGCTCTAGGAGATGGGTCAAAAAGGATCTTGCTGTGATTTATGTCATAGAGTGTTCTCCCTGTGTTTTCCTCTAAGAGTTTTATAGTGTCTGGCCTTACATTTAGGTCTTTAATCCATTTTGAGTTTATTTTTGTGTATGGTGTTAGAGAGTGTTGTAATTTCTTTCTTTTACATGTAGCTGTCCAATTTTCCCAGCACTACTTATTGAAGAGGCTATCTTTATCCACTGTATATTCTTGCATCCTTTATCAAAAGTAAGGTGACCATATGTGTGTGGGTTTATCTCTGGGCTTTCTATCCTATTCCATTGATCTATATTTCTGTTTTTGTGCCAGTACCATACTGTCTTGATTACTATAGCTTTGTAGTATAGTCTGAAGTCAGGGGGCATGATTCTTCCAGCTCTGTTTTTCTTTCTCAAGATTGCTTTGTCTATTTGAGGTCTTTTGTGTTTCCATAGAAATTGTAAAATTTTTTGTTCTACTTCTGTGAAAAATGCCTTTGGTAGTTTGATAGGGATTGCATTGAATCTGTAGATTGCTTTGGGTAGTACAGTCATTTTCACAATGTTGATTCTTCCATTCTAAAAACATGGTATATCTCTCCATCTGTTTGTATCATCTTTAATTTCCTTCATCTGTGTCTTATAGATTTCTGCATACAGGTCTTTTCTCCTTAGGTATGTTTATTCCTAGGTATTTTATTCTTTTTGTTGCAATGATAAATGGGAGTGTTTCCTTAATTTCTCTTTCAGATTTTTCATCATTAGTGTATAGGAATGCCAGAGATTTCTGTGCATAAATTTTGTACCCTTCTACTTTGCCTAATTCATTGATTAGCTCTAGTAGTTTTCTGGTAGCATCTTTAGGATTCTCTATGCATAGTATCATGTCATCTGCAAACAATGACAGCTTTACTTCTTTTTTGATTTGTATTCCTTTTATTTCTTTTTCTTCTCTGATTGCAGTGGCTAAAACTTCCAAAACTATGCTGAATAATAGTGTTGAG